TACTACACCATTTTATAGCAGGGACCTGAGCATCTGTGGATTTTGGTATCTGCTGGGGAGGTTGTCCTGGAACCAATCTCCCATGGATACCAAAAGACGACTGTATGTGTGCAGCACTTTACAGTTTTCCAACAGCTTTCATATACTGTATAACTACAACTTCTCTTTAAGGCTTAAAATTACCCACCCATCCACCCCCCCATCCCACACCCAGCCTCAAAATTGGGTTTGCAGTTGATGTTTTCCGTGCCTCTGGTAGGAGATGTGGGATGTGTTTCGTTGTGAGAGTGGAACATCCAGTTCTCCCTGCCCTGCCCTACCTCCCAGCACTCACCCCCACACCCACTCCCCAGCTGCCCGGGCCGTAGAGGAGGTGGCACTTCAGAAGGCCATCTGCAGGGTGGATGGCAGGGCTCCGTCTTAGCGGCAGTGGACAGAGAAAGGTGGAGGATGGTTGGACCACAACCTTCTTCCCCTGCAGGCAGGAACAAGGCTCATTATTTTCACTTGAGCTTGCAAGTGAAAACAATTACATAAGCTTCCCATCTGGTTTCCAAAGCGCTTTTGAAACGATTCCATCACCAGTCCACTAATTTTATGGGGACCCCAAAGATAGGGTACAGTCAGAGTTTATCATCTGGGATCTCCGTTGTTCAGGCTTTGTCACTCAGTGTGGCGTTTGTCCCCTCCTGCTGCCTCAGGCCTGCCTCTCTGTCCTTTCCTCTCTCACCTGTCTTCCTTCCCTTTCTGCAAATCTCTCCCCACACTAGGGCCCAGCCAAGGCTCCATTCAGTCTGACAGGCACGTCCTGAGTGCTGCTCTACCCCAGGCCCGGGCTTGCTGCTGGCGGTTCCGGGATGAGCAGGACCGAACCAGACCTCACGGAGCTTACTGTGAAATGGACGAGGCCCCATCACGACACCCTCCTTCATCCTGCTGACCTTGCATCCTCCCTTTCACAAGACACTGGTCTCCCTCCCATTCTTCCGTGTGCCGAGCAATGAGCTAAGGGTTGACCTGCATTCTTCCACCTGATTTTTCACGTCAGGTATTGTTATTCCATTATTATACCCATTTTCTAGATGAGATTACAGCTCAAGAGGTTACGTAAGTTGTCCAAGGTCGCATAGCCAGGAAAGGGCCCGGCTGGGATCCCTGCCACACTGCCAGCCTTCAAGACCCACCTTCTTCCTACTGGGCCACGCTGCCTCCACTCAACTGCAGCAGTTGACTGTCGACACTCAGAACAAAAAGAACAAAGAAATGTATAGGGCTTTAGCACTGCCTCTACCACCCCTTTTGGGAGTTAGCCTCTTTTTTTAATTGGCAAGTAAAAATTGTGTCTATACATATGGTATAAAACATGATGTTTTGACATGCATATACATTGTGGAATGGCTAAATCAAGCTATTTAACATATGCATTGCCTCACGCACTTCTTTTGTGTGTGGTGCAAACACGTACAATCTATTCTCTTTGCAGTTTTCAAGTATACAATATATTGTTATTAACTGTGAGAGTTAGCTTTTAAAAAAAGTCTAGTGATTCTTTCTAAAGACCAAGAACTTGTGTACCTTGGAGATCGTGCTCTCCTTATATCCCTGAAGTTTTAAAAACCAGGTGCTTTGATCATTTCTTTACTCCCTAAAGTAGGAGAAAACTTTTCTGACACACCACTCTGGCGTCGTGGCTGGATGGCTGTGCCATGGCCTCTGGCTCGGAAGTCAGCCTGGGAGTCCAGCCAGGCTCGAAGTGCTGAGCTGGCCTTTCACATCCTTGGAGGCGGTTCTGATGGTCTGGGAAGTGGCTCCCACTCTCAGCCTACTGCCGAGCTTCACTCATAACCCTTTTTTCCCTCTACGATCCTCAGGGGAGGGGAGGAGATGGCAAAGACCCTCCCCAGGGAGGTTTCTGAAGGGTCCTGTCAGGAAAATGGAAAGCACTGGAGGGCAGTGTGTCAATTTGCATGTGATTTGCATGCCGCATGTGGTTTTGAAGCATTTTCATAAATTAGCCAAATATCCGCAGTAATGGATAGGATCACAGTAAGATTTTGTTTGTCTGGTGTTTGAAGCTGTCAGGTCTTCACTTTTTCTTATTCCACCCCACCCACCCACGTCAGCCAGCTCAGAATCCCCCTGCCAACGGTATGGAGAGATGTCATGAGAAGGATGAGAACTCCCCACATGATCTTTTGGGGCTCTCCCTGACAATCTTGGTGCTGGCTGCCTCCAGGAACAGGACTCCCTCGGTCTGTTATTTCTCTCCCTGGGTCGGGCCTCTGTGAATCCTTCACACTGGGCTGTCTTGCAGGCGGCCTTTGCGAGGCAGCAGGAAGGGGCAGACGGGAGCTAACGGCGCGGCAGCTGGGAATCCAGCAACGGCAGGAAGTCTGTTGGCATCAGGCGAGTCTACCAGCGAAGAGTGAAGCTGGTCACAGGCCTAGGTTCGGGGGAAGGACTGTAGTCCCTGAGGAGTCCTATTCTAGAAGGACTGAGTTCTGGGGCACGTTACAGAAGTCGGGACTCACATGGTGCAGGATGAAGAACATACCCAGCTCCAACAGCCCAGGTGAGCATTTGCTGTCTCATCCATGGCCCGTTTTTTTCAGAACTGAGGCTTAATGTCAGAGTCTTAGAAGCAACAAGGGTAACTCAATGCTGAGCGATAGAAAATTAAAGTTGAGTTACAGAAATTTCTCTGGCTAAAGTCAGGCATACTGGACACTCTTTTTCTAGGATTAAGTCTCCACCTCACCCGGTTAGTACACCCTTCCTACAGGGACCTTCCTCGTACCCCAGCCCACGGGCATGGCCACTACGGACTCGTCAACTATTTGTACAACATGACCCTTCTCCATGTCCCAGCTGATTGGTCCAAGGGTGACTTGTGACCCAAGATAGGCCAACCAGGGCCCTTTCCATAGATGTGTAGACTTGGGGCCCGAGTGTTTGAGACCACTTCTCCCTGGTGGCCGTGACAGACCCTGTCGATGCCCAACACATATCCCCTCATCATTGCCACCTCAGTGTGAGACATCCATTGGTTCTGACTTAATATGACAAACTCTCTGCACTATCTACTCTCCAATAGGATCTCCAAAAAGTGAATGTGCCATTGATACTCTGATGTTCCTGCTTCTTTTCCACTTACATTTTGCCCTGTTAAAAGAATGATTTAGTCATTTTCTTCACTGGGTTTCACGCGGTTTCCTTCAGAGCAGTCAGAAGGCTCTTTCTTCGCTGCGAAGCAAAAGGATTCCTTTCAATGCTGCAGCTCCCTCCGCAACCTCCGGAATCTTCTGCTATTCAGAGCTTCTGAGTGGCCCTTTTCATACCAGGCAACTGAGCTAAACCCTGCTAATTTCAGTAAAAACCCCCTCAAGCTAGCAGTTAGGTGAACTTAGAGTAAGCTGTCTTTTTAAAGAAACAGACCGATTCTGATATAAAACCGTATTTAGCTATTTTTGTGCTATGCACTTACTTCATCTAGTAGATTGTAAACTTTTGGAGGAGAAGAAATGGGTGTTAAATATCTTTGTATCTCTTGGCTCAGTACCTCACACTTAGTAAATACTTAACAGTGCAAGATTGCTACATAAATGAATCATTCAATCACATTCCCCATGTTAAATATAAAATCAATGATTTAAACATCATGAATTCAATAGATAATCCCACTAGGATACATTTAAGATGCACTGGTATATATTAGGGTGGTTTTATGATGGACCCCAACATGAATAAAATTCAGCAAAACTGGCACTTTTCTTTTGTACATAGTACACCCAACTGCTAAGAGCCCAGTTTTCAAATGTGTAACCTGTATAGGGAAAATCTGCCTTTCCCACTAAAAAGTATTTATCCCTGTGAGGAAATAGGGAACTCTCTCCAGCTAAGCAGAAATAGAATCTGCTCAAGGAAGTGGAGGGGACACTTTGAACAGTCAGGGGGTGTTTGTTTGTTCATTCTGGCCTGGGCCAGAGATCAGTTAGAAAGCAGGGGTCATGGCACCCCTGAAACCTGCACAGGGAAGAACCCATAGGAAGTGGATACAGAGAGGTCCTCCCAGGTGGCAGATCTGACAGCATGCGAGTGGGGACAGAGCAACCCCGTGAGCCCATGGAGAGAAGCAACAGCTCGAGGGGCAGTGTGGGCCCCCAAATCCTGGGACACAGGGTTCCGCAGCCTCCCCACTTATTGCTGCATGCGGACTCCCACCCACGGCAAGCCAGGCCTCCCACATGAAGTCCTCACGTGGCCCTCAGACTTCCCGTGCGGTGAGGGAAGGCAGCCCACTCGCAGAGCAACACCGGGATGGGGCACAGAAATTCCCACCCCCTTGTGAGCCGAAAGAGAAGTTAGAGAGCCCAGGGCAGAGAAAAACTGTGCAGTGCACTTCCACCTTGACTCTACTTCAGCCCGCTAGGGCGCTGGGTGACATGGGGACACTCAGAGATGAACATGCGGAAGCATAGAGGTGGGGAGAAAGCTGCTCCCCACTGCCTCTCTGGGCTTCAAGCGTTCCCAACTAAAGCCTGCATGGAGTAGGGCCGCTGCTGGAGACATCTGTGGTTCCAGCCTGCCCAGCGTCCACTCCTCCCTGGCAACGGCACCTGGTGTTCCTCTGGGACCCGCCCTTCCCCCACTGTCAGTCCTAGCGACCTCATGCTCCTGCTGTAGGAGGGGCACACAGGCCCCATCCTGGCCAAACAGTGGGTTCCACCTCCTCGGCCACAGAACTGATTTAAGGGGAGGACATGTGACCCAAGCCCAACCGGTCAGCCTAGGGTAGATGGCCACAGTAGAGGAAAGAGGCGCCCTTTTCCCACGGGGTTAGCTCGGCGATTCGGGGTTGGGGTTCTTGGGGGGGACTTGGAGCCTCAGAATGAAACCAACACATAGGAGGTCACGAGAAACAGCGCGACCTTGTCCATTACAGGAGCCAAGAAGTCCCCTATTCTGAAGCCAGATTGATTTGGGTTTTTTAACCCTTACAACTAAATAAACCCTCCAGATGAACACAACTGGGTCCCCACAACTAGAAAAGGGAACAAAAGGGAGGAACAAGCTCTGTGCCACTGAGTCACATTACCGTGGAACCAACTTTGAAGGCTTCCACGTCCAGGACTTTGCCTTTTTCTCCTCAGAGAGCGTTTACCGCACAGGCAATACTCCCTGGAGAGGCTGCTGCAGATGCCAACAGCCAAGAGCACTCAGCTTCCCTCTCCACGTGCCGCCCCTTGCGTCACTGTCTGCCAGCAGAGTGGTGGGCTCGCTGTGTGCGCACTTAAACACTTTCAGAGCCATTTTTAGACTTTTTATTCTATAGACCAGAAAATTGCTGAAATTAGGAGACATTTGAAGTGGTTTTCCTCAAGCCCAGAAAAGAGTTTTTGCTGCGGCTATATTTAAAAGCCCAGCAGCAAGTTGTTTTGGCTTATGTCTTGTTGTTATGTAATAAACATGATGTTAAGCTTTGGAAGCCCTGAACGCTGGTTGGAAGGGTGAAAACAGTGGCCTCACCGTAATGGGTGCCCTGGAGATGCTTCGTAGAGGGCAGGGAGGAGATAACATAGTCTTCTGTGAATGTTCAAATAACAATGTGTGTGGAGCAGATTTGAATGACTGTGTAAATTCCCAAAAGAAACAGTAGGGAAAAAAAAGAAAAAGAAGAAGGAAAAAGGATGTTATGTATTAATGCAAGGGAAAAATATAATCAACAGCCAAATACAAGCTGTTTTTAATGAGAAAAAGGGACCCAGGAGATGTGGACGGATCTGTTGCAGAAAGAAGATCATATTAGCTTTCTATGCTATGTAACAAATTACCATAAACGTAACTGCTTAAAACAACACAAGTTTATGATCACCTCTAGGAGCTCAGGGCAGTCCCTGGTGACAGCCAGCAGGAGAGTGCAGTCATGGCATGGCTGGCTTCTCCCTCAGGGCCTCAGAGGCTGACAGCAAGGTGTTGGCTGGGCTGGGGCTCATCTGAGATGTAGGATCCTCTTCCAAGCTCACGTGGTTATCAGCAGAATGTAGTTGCTTGTGGTTGTAGGTCCGGGGTTCCCACTATCCTGCTAGCTGTCACCGGGGGATGTCTCTGAGCCCCCAGAGGCCTCTCACATTTTCTCACCCTGTGGCTGTCTTACCATACATCAGTTAGCTCCTGCAAGGCCCCAGGAAAATTCCTCCCATGCTTCCAGTCTCTCTGACTTCTTTGATCTCTGACTTCTAGATTCTCTCTTAAAGAGCTCGCCTGGTTAGGTCAGGTCCTCAGGAGACGGGATTACTCAGGGTGTGAACACCAGGGAGCAGGAATCTTGGAAGCCATCTTAGAATTCTATTACAGTGATCAACCTTTTGTACAAAAGCAGGGACCCAAAATGTGTAATTGAAACACTACAATATGGACCGAATGCTGGAATCCTCCTTGCCCCAGCCCAATTCAAACGTTGAAGCCCTAACTCCCAATGTTGTGATATTTGGAGGTAGGTCCTTTGGGAAGTAATTAGGTTTAGATGAGGGCATTAGGGTGGGGCCCCCATGATAGGATTAGTGGCCTTGTAAGAAGTGTAAGAGAGACCAGACTCTCTCTGTCAGGTGAGGACACAGTGAGGAGGCAGCCATCTGCAAGGCAGGAAGAAAGCCCTCACCAGGAACCAAATCTGCCAGCACCTTGATCTTGGACTTTCCAGCGTCTTGAACTGTGAAAGAGAAATATCCTCTATGCAGTGCACTTGACCCCAGAGCCAGAACTAGGCTGAGGTCAGTGAGGCACCAAGAGGGCAAAATTTAAGAGGGAGCTCATTTGCACAACCCTGAGAGAAAGTGCCACCCGACATCACACACCCTACACCTCATCCTGGCCCTGGCCGTTCCAGGCACAGAGGAGCAAAGATTTTTTTTTTTTTTAAGTCACTTTCTTCCTCAAGGCACACACAGTTTAAGAGGTCAAAAATGGAGTACACCACTGGAACCCCAACTGCTGACTTCACAAGAGCACAAAATTTCCCCTAAGATGCACAGTTGAGTATAACTGAAAATATTAAGTGAACCCTTCTGACTCTTGATAATTTAAAGGTCTAGAGTCACTTATAACACTATTAAAATAAAATTTGATACTAATATAAACTTGATGCTACATGTCATTGAATCACAACTGTAATGAAACCTTCACCTGTTGCTCCATCAAAACATTTGTACAGTTTTCTCACATTCCATGGAGAAGCCCACATTTCCCAAGTATATCTTCACGCCACAAAGTAAGACATGCCTCTTCATCCTTCACTGACGTTCTCTCTCTCTCTCTCTCTCTCTCTCTGCCATTTTAGTACCAGCTGGCGCACTTGTTAAAGAATTTCATAAATTTCTTTTTTCTCTGACTTTAATTCACAATATAAAGCTGAGCCACTCTCCAAATCTGACTCACTTTCCCATAGGTTGTTCAGAATTTTTCTTCGCTGGCTAACAGCTCTGTTCCGAGTGTCCTTGGAGTCTCACTGATCCTCTGGCACAAAGGCCAGCTGAACCCTGAGACTTCAGGCCAAAAGCAGAGTCTGGAAAACAAGATCACTACCAAGGCCTCTTGCTCTGATCTTTTGGGCTCTTTTGGTGAAAACTCCTGCACTCACCCTTAGCTCACCCTGCTGAGTGGGAAAATGAGCCACATATGAACACAGTCTTGGGGCTGGGAGCCCTGCTATACCCTGGTTTGGGTTAAACTCCCTTAAGTAACCGAGAACAGACCTGCCTGAGTTAGATCTCCTAGGGTGTTTCTCTGTGTTGAGTGCTTAACCAGGAAGAACGTTAAACAGTGTACTGAGCTGATGGCAAATACCTATGACCAATTTCCCAGCCTCAAACACACAAGAGACTTGGACCCTGGGGCCCTGCATGTTGCCACAGCCTAGATATGCATCTTCTAGAATTCTTTGCACAACAACAGACCTATTGTGCAGTCTTTCCTTACCCCTACCCCATGCCCCAAGCAAGTAAGATGTTTACTCCCAGTACTAGGAGGGGGAGGGTACAGGCAGAAATGGAAGGAATGCTAACCATAACTAACCTAAGTCAGATTTCCAGCCTGCTCCACTAACAAAGCTCTGCTTTCACCCTATGGGGACAAAGTGAACAAAAAGCTGAACCTTTGCATCTTGCTCTGAAGGTTAAAGTTCTGATGCAAGACATAGTCATTCTCCTTTTGTGTCTGGTGGCCTTTGTTTCACTCTGATGCTATTATTTATTCATCCTTTTGCATAGGCAGTTACTTGGTACAGACAAGAAGAACTTGAGACTGAGCCTCTATGGGCTGTCAAAACTTAAGGAAGCTAATTAATTTCTCCCATCCTCAGTTTCCTCATCTGAAAAAGTAGGGTAATTATACTTGGCTTGCAGGGTTGGTTTTATGCGTGTGTGTGTGTGTGTGTGTGTGTGTGTGTGTGTTTGTGTGAGAATTATAAATGCTTGGAAACTACTACCTCCTTAAAAAAAGGTTACTAGTTCTATTCCTGCTATCTATGCCTCTGTGTCTATATTGCTGATCTGTCTCCTCTGCTACACTGTGAGTTGAGAGCAAGAATTGTGTCTGTATTGTTAACGGCAATTACAGTGCCTGACAAAGAGGAGGTGTTCCATCAATGAGAAAGTTGAGCATCTGGACTTGAGCCAGGGGCAGCAGCCACCAGGAAATAAGAGTCTACGTGCAATTACCTGCTCTACTTCCTGAGTCAGTGGTTCTCAAATTCTTTGTATTCAGGACACATCTGAAGGGACTGGCACATTCAGACAACAGTGAATTAGCAATAATTGCAACTTAATCCTTACTACTGAAGAACAGTGTCTCACAATGTCTACAAAAGCAACCACTACAGTCCCACCATTTATTGGGATGCCCTTCAGCCCTGTGGCTGGGTGGGTAGAACGCTTACTGCCCTGATTCCCCCCACTAATGTACACAAGAATTCTTACCTGTCTAATTAACCACCGTATTTCTTGGTCACTGGCTTAACAACACAGCTCTTACCTTCTCACAGCACTACAGTTTGTAGCCATGGTCCATGGCGTGTTGGCCTGCGGTGCAGGTCTCAGGCAGGCACTTCAACTTTGCCCTCGGAATTGTAGGATTTAGCTTCCGTAGTTTCTATTTGTCAACAATCCTGAAGCTCCTTGACATGTAGTCATTTGTAATTGCACTGAGATGTCATTTTTTAAAATTACTTTACAAGTAATACATACATCCTCATCTGATAGAGAATTATACAGAGGAAAACCTATAGATGCCTTCCTTTGTTTACAGCAGCCAGGGTAGGCCACATGATACCACAGTAACAAACATCCCCAAATCTCGGTGGCTTTATAACCACAAATGTTCATGTCTTGTTCACACTGCATATTGGGCGTGAATCAGCTACAGCTCTGCTTCTTACCGTCTTCACTCCAGAACCCAAACTGATGGAAGAACCCAACCTCTATCTGGAACGTTGCCAGTCTGATGGCAGAAGGCGAAAGACAAGGCAAACGATGTTCTGACTTCTAACACTTTACACAGAAGAGACCAACGTCACTTATTGGCCAAAGCAAGTCGTTGCAGAGAGGGGTACTGTGCAGCGAGAACCCGGAATGCTTGGTGAATGAGAATGCCATCTCCCACCACCTCCTCCTGCAACTACTCTCCCGCAGGTAACTGCTCTCTACAGTTCAGGGTGCGTCCTGTCAGTCCCCCTTCCTAAGTATTTACCTACACATGTATACAGGCACACACACAAACATGGAATATTGCACATGTTTTTCTGCAACTTGTTCTGTTCTCAATATGCCTTGGACACCTTCCCTCTCCCCCCATATGTGTAAGTCTAACCCACTCTTTCGAACAACTCCATGGTATTTCACACCATAATATATTTAAATTCTTGCTGTACATTCTGGATCTTTTCAATATTTTTGGTATTACAAATAATGCCATGATATTTATTCATATTCATGCACGTGTGTATTTCTGAATGATAGGTTTCTAGAAATAAGTTGTTAAAGTAGGGCATTGTGCATTACAATTTTTAAGAGATACTGCTAATTTGCCTTGAAAATGCCTTCCTCAATGCACACAGCCATGAGCAATGCATATGTCCCTGATTTCCCAAATCCTCAACAATTCTTAATATTATCAAACTTTTCCTTTTCTATGAATCTGATAAATTATAAAAAGGTATTTCATTGTTTTAATGTATTTAGTGCATTTCCTTGCTTACAGTTGAGTACTGCTCCTATTTATTGGCTAATCTCACAATTTTTTCTTTTGTGAATTACCTGTTTCCACTCTTCACCCATTTTCTGTGATTGTTTTATCTTTGTCTGTGTTTTGTCTTTTTCTTTCAGATTTGAATGAACTATTTTATATATTTTCTCAATACTAATCCTTAGTCTGTATTACCCTTTGTGAATATGAGCATCTCTTGATTCTATGAGGAGCCCATTCCTAAACACCAGACACTTGGTGCAAATACTTAAATAGGGGCTCATTTTCTACCGATATAACACTGCCAACCAATTCCCTAAAATGCAGGAAAATGTCAATATACGTAATGAGTTATTTAGTTCATAAGATGCATAAAACATTGTTCCCTGATCACCAAACAGTTAATATGACTTTTAACACACATTTGCATGTGTGCAGCCATCAACAGCCCAACTCACATCTGTTTGTTGGCACTTGGTGCTTTTCAAAACATCTGCATGTGATTCTGACATTCTTCCAGTTACAATTGGAAAGTAACTGGAAAATTCCTCCCCTCTCCCCCACACATACTACTTTGTTTAAAATGTCATAATGAGTTTGGAGGATGTACAAATAAAATTTTCTATATAAACCTTGGCCCCCAAAAAAATGTTGTATAGGAGAGATAGAAACATTCTATGAAGACTGGGTGTTACAGATAAGAGGAGTTCTACTGCAAAAAGATTACCTAGGGAGGCAGCTTGTGAGGTGTACCTCTATTTGATTCTGGTCTGGCCATTTTGTTTTTAACTTTGTTCATGGTATCTTTTTGGATGCAAACTTTGCTTTTTCATATAATCGAATCTGTTAGTTATTTTGTTTAAGGTTTCTGGATTTGGAGTCTTGCTTTAGGAGACTGTCCTCATCTCAGGATTACTTTTAAAAATTCTCCTACACATACACATATATTTTTTAAAGTTGTTAGTTTTATGTTTAGCTCTTTAACCATAAGGAATTAATTGTTAGATAAGGCGTGAGGTGGGGTGAGGGGGGGGTCTACCTTTTCTCTGTCCAAAAACAAGTAGCATATCAACTCAACATCATTTATTGAATATTTCATCCCTTCTCTACCTGGTTTGAAATATACTGTGTCTTAATCCATTTTGTGCTGCGATAACAGAATACCTGAGACTGGGTAATCTATAAAGAAGAGAAATTTATTGGCTCATAGTCTAGGAGCTGGAAAGTCAAAGATCAAGGCACCAGCATCTGGTGAGGGCCTTTTTGTTGCAGCAGCACATACCAGAAGGGAAAAAGTACAAGAGAGCGGGCCCACACCCACTAGCCTTTTTTTAATGGCATTAATCCATTCATGAAGATGGAGCCCTCATGACCTAAACACCTCCCATTAGGCCCCACCTCCCAGCACTGTTGACCTGGGGATTAAGTTTCCAACACATGAATTCTGGGAGACAATTCAAATCATAGCATACTGTAAATTAAATTCTCAGGTTTTAAAAAAAAAAAAAATGCGCTCGGTTATATTAATATTAAGGCATTAAATTTTCTGGCAGAGCTAGTATACAGAAGTGCAGATCTTAGGGAGCATGAGATTAATTATCAGCATCCATGTATCAATACCAGCCTTCTCTGCTCATTGTGAGTATTCTCATAAACATAAAAACTTTGTGTGCAACAAACTATTCTGATAACAAGACAACTGCTAATGGTGCATGCCAAGGGATGTAAGAATGTGAAATATCATTCCAAATAACTGGAGCCCTGTAGTAACCAAATTATTAAAGATTTGAAGGGGTCATTTCAATTTTTCAGTTATCCTTAATATTTCACTTAGGGCCTCTGTAACTTTAATGATGTTTAAGAATTCTGGGACTCAGTAGTTCTGGGGTGAGTCCCCAAAAGCGTTCAGGTTCTACTATGTCATGAGCTTTCCTGGTCCCAGAGATTCCCGTGCAGCTGGTACCAACTTGGCCCCACATGTTCTGTGACGGGGAAGGCTGCCCTCTCTACCTCCACTGCCTTCTCTTGTCATCAGACACTCCTCATCCCATGGCAAGCTGACTGCTCCTCCCCCACATCTTGGAAATGCCTCGTATACAAAAGTCTAGTCGGAGAAGTTTGAAGATGTTGGGCTGGGGCTGGAGGGTTGGGGAAGTGTTCAAATGATGATGATATATGGCCGTGATATATGGCCACCACCTTTGAGCCCACCATCTCCTCTTCTCTGTGCTCGCACAGACACACATGCACGCTGGCCCCGTTGTGTCTCAAGACAAATAGCTTCATCACCACCACGAAAGTTTAGATGGCACCCCAAAACGAGGAACAGCCTTGGCTGAGCAGACAACACTGACCGCCATGTGCGTAATGTGGAGAATGCCATGGCCAGGAAAGGGCCTCGGTGGCTGCCAGTCTGGGCTGGGGATCTCCTGGCCACGGGCCGCCCTCCAGCCATCAGTAGGTATTCTCACTGTTTAGAGGACTTTCCCCTCTGGCGGGCTCCACCTCTGTGGAGGGCTCCCCTCTGGCCAGGGCTTCTCAAACTCCTCCTACTCAGCCACCCCAGCAGCCAGAAGCCTCAACACCTACTGCTGGAGAGAATGAGGCACAGCCAGGCCCACCCCAGGCACATGTGATCTTTCTCTGCTGTCTCCAGCTTTATCTTCGAAACGTGCAAAGTCTGTGCTCTACATCATGTTTTTATGCTTGTTTTGATATAAAAAATGTGTTTTCAGTTTCATGCCTAACTCTCCCTCCCCCTCTTTGTGAGGTCTCGATATAAAATCCAACCCTGCACCACGCTTCCTGGCGCTCGTTGCAACTGTAATCGATCCACGTCAGCCAGTTGTGTATTTGCTGTCTTTCCCACTAGACTGGAAGCTCCAGGAAGTCAGCAGCCATGCCAGTCTGGGTCCCTCCTGCATTCTCAGTGCCTCGCCAGTGCCGTCCCCAGCAGTGGCTTTTACCTTCATGGTTAGAGTTCTCTTATAAGAAGGCTGACATGGAAATTTCAGTCCTCAAGCAAGTCATGTGACTGCACCTCCTCTCACAAGCAGAAAGGCCTGGGCCCACGGCCTCACAAAGGGGTTATTCATAAAGGGTCCAGGTGAGAGAGGCAATCCATCATTGCTCGAGGCTCAGCCCTATCACCACTCCTGGCACCCTCCCAATGACAGGGAGACAATGACATCACCTCTGACTGTATACAAAGGACACCCTATTCTTTAACCCTCTCTATGGAGAATTACTCTTTTAGCTCTTTCTTGCAGTATTAGGTGCATAATGTCATAACTCAGCGTTTCCCAGATGCAGTGCGAGGGCCTAGATGACTTGGCAGGTATTTGATTTATAGACGTTTTCTCAAGTCAGAGACGAAATTGAAGCATGTTTTGCTGAGAGTAGGAAAACAACTCAATCTGGAAGAAAAGCTGATTTCTCAGGCACATAATTGTAAGTTAGATCGAATCCTCTCACCTTTGCATTTGATTTTCTCACCTCCTACACAGATTTTCAGTGACAACCCTCATTCTTATCATTTTTAATATCCACAGAGCACTACTCAGAAGATTTATTGGTTTAAAAAAATGCCAGTTCCTCTAAACAGCAAAGTCCCATTGCCGAGTTTCATGTAAAGATTGTGCTTAAACAAACTACAGTCAGAGCATTTGAGGACAATGCTTAAGGAAAGAAGTGAGAAATCTGAATTGTGGAATAGTTATTATCATAATTGCTTGCATTTATCGCGTGTTTATTATGTGTCAGGTATTAGGCTGAGTTCTTGGCATGAATTAGCTCATTTAATCCTTACAGCAAACATTTG